TATATAGCTTTAAAAAACCTGGCGAATAAAGCTAATTCTGATTCAGATTTTTAAGAGTGAACTTGTACAAAAACCACAAACTTCCATGCCAATATCAAATATTATAGTAAAAATACATTCTCTTTTTTCATAACTAAACTTTAGCCTCATATAACACGCAAAACCTACAAATACTACAACACTGCCTAGTGAACACTAATGAGATCAATTCAAACACTCACAAAAACCTCATACTAGGAATCAGGAATCATTCTGTAAGTCACTGTCTATTACAGGATACAACAAATAGAGGGGTGCAGATACAGTGAAATTCAACAATAAGTGTGTTTCCATTACACTTCTGTAAAGATATCTTGATGAAAAGCACTAGAAAAGAACAGTTAAAATTCCAAAGAACTGAATATGAATACACACTACTTTCTCTGCCTCCTCTAGACAGACGTCTCTCAGTTGTGCAAAACTGCAGTGACATGTAAGAAGTACTCGGCTACAAATCAATTTGACAATTAGGCTGCAAGTTTGAGGGTGTACAACATGTGCCACAGTATATACTGTATGCAGAATAGTGAACATTCTCTCATCTAAATTACTGCTACCTTGTGCTGAAATTATACTGTATGTGTGTAAGTAGTATAAAAACTCCCTCATGGTCATTCATGCACAAGAACACAGTCAATAACAGTGCTTTGTATTTCATCAGGAACAAACATCCCCTTAATGTATATGTTTGCCTATTCTTCCTTTTCCACTTTGTGTCCCACAAAGTGGATTCATTTTCTGAAGCACATGATCACTTGTGTCTCTGTTAATGTTTACACATGGATACATGTGTGCTATGTGAGTTCACATTGTGATGACTTGAGTTAATTATATTGTGTACTTGGTTTTCTGAATGAGAACATGTTTAAACGTGTAAAATGAGGGCATTTTATGTAGTTTTTTTGCAGAAAACAGAAAATTGCAATGTGAGATACGTGTCTTTGTTTCGAGAACTGAATTAATGGTTTGGGAAATTGTGCCAACTGAATCAGTTATAATGGGCCCCATTTTAACGATCTAAGCACATGGTCTAAAGTGCAGGTGCACTTAGGGCGTGTCCGAATCCACTTTTGCTAGTTTAACAACGGGAAAAACGGTCGGTGCACCCGGGCGCCTGGTCTAAAAGGGTTGACCCTATTCTCTTAAAGGTCCCATATTGTCAAAACTGAAATTTCCTGGCTTTTTTCATGATAACTGAGGTCTAGGTGCTATGTAACTACCATATAAGTTTCAAAACAGTCAATCCACAGTCAAATGCACACAGCCTGCATAAAGTAGCTGTGCCTTTTCACGAACCATAAAAAGTTGATGTCAGAACTACACAGTCACTGCCTTCAGTCACCACCCCGAGCACCACCCACCGTCCCATTCTCCTTTTGCCAAACCCCCAGACAACATCGCGTCCATGCCATTGCTGAGCAACAACAACACGGAAACATGTCGAGAAAACGCTGCTCATTCGATGGATGTCAGGAAACTACATCATTGCACAGGCTTCCAAACTAGGGTTGGGCCGATAGACTGATAGACTCCACGATGTTGAGACGGCATCATGATCCCCCCCCCACTCTCTCCCTCATAACCCCCACAATCTGGCCGCATCCCAATACCGTGTTCGGGAAAGAAAATGATGTGAACTACGGAACCCCTAAAGTTAATAAATACGAGATGAGAGGAAAATATATATTTCAATATTTTCTCTCGCAGTTATATCATTCTATTTGCCACAGCAGGCTACAGCATTCATGACCCTAGTTACCTGTTGTTGGCCTGGCCATGCGTCACTCAGATAAACAACAGGCCAATCAGAAGAGAGGCTCGTGAATATTAATTAGACAGGCCAAAATCGACCTGTTCTCAGCAGAGCTCCTGAGAAAGGAGCTGTAAAAATATATTTAGATGCTTTTTGGTACTTATACCGCAAATATATATTCTTAAGGACATCAAAACCTAAAATAAAACTCCAGAAAGGTGTATAATATGTGACCTTTAATGAGTAATGGGTGTTTTTTTGGGCGTAACATGCAATAAACCAATCAGAGTCTCATATCCCATTCCCTTTAAAGCCAAGTTCACACTACACGACTTTAAACGTCGGCAGATCGCTGTGCTGTTCAGACTACATGACTTGATTGTCTGTCTTTAAGTCGTTGTGGTGTTCACACTACGTGACTCTGTAAATGATCCGCAACCGGAGGTTACACACAACACGAGCTGACAACAACTGTCACCCAATGACTCTACAAACCACGTTTTGTCACGAAAACACAAAAGAATTGGAACGGGAATGACGTGAAACAACACGTGAAACAGGAGTTGTTTATTTGAAAATGGATGTCGGGAAGAAGTTAGCGCTGCAAGCTGTTTGCGCGATGGAAAATTTTGCTCCAAACTTTTCTTTAAGCTATGTTGCTGCTGTTGTTTTTCTTCCAGAGACCTCAACACATGCCTTGCTCTCTCATTGGCTGTAGCTCATCACAACACCTGACACCACGTGATGTCGAGTCGGCTGACCGGTCCAGATATTTGGCATGCTAGATATTTGTTTGCCATCGGCGACGCGTCAGCGAGCCTCTTTGATGCGTCGTTGTGTAGTTCACACATAAAGATTGCCCAGTGCCGATCACCCGCTGATTTTCCCCCAATCACAGCCCGACCTGTCGGCGAGCTCGTTAACTTGCAAATCAGGCTTAAAATCCAGTAGTGTGAACTAGGCTTAAGAGGTAGTTGTACTTGTGCCATGGCAGATTTGCTATTTACACAGTGGAATTTGCAACCGCAAAGACAGAACGCGTCTCCAGAGAGGAAACGGAGCAAATAGGTAGCCTAATTCTGATACATGAGACGATTATCCATTATGACACATAGGCATTTTTATATTTATGCAGCCTACTCAATAATAATATTTTACATTGTAATCCTTGAATTTTTAATATTTGGCATGTCTGTGTGCTGCTGTGCATCCCTGTGTGTGTAATAAGCAGAGTGTACGCATGCTGTGGACCCGCCTACACTAATGTGCTCTTTAAATAACAAAAAAAACTACTGTGCCATTGACTTGTAAGAATCCACCCGCCAGCCCAAAAAGCGGAATCCAGCGGCCTGGTCGAAGGTTTAATGAATATTCGGTCTTTTACTTGCGCTTCTGAATTTATCAGGATTTAGTTTAAATTTTAGTCTAGCTCTGTGTTCAATCTGACTCCCCTTATGAAAAAGAAGTTTATTCAAGTGTGCTATTAGTATACTTCTTTTAAACTAAAAATAGGAAAGTATGCTTTGTCTATTTTTTATGTACTTCTCAGAAATGGGCTTTATGTACTTCTCAGAAATATACTTAAAATGACATTTAAGTATACTTGACTTATACTTAGATCACATCGCTGATAGACAGAAATCAGAAGGTCTCCGATGACGTGCCTACTGCTCCTATCATTCACAAGCCTTCAGTTTGGCACGTGTAGCAGAACACTGGATGCACCAAAGGATCAACCTTGAATAAGGACAAACACCAGTAATGCCTTTTCTTGGGTGTTCACTGCAAGCATGAAATGGGACAGTGTTACAACAATCATCTGTTCTGGTTTCACAATCTCTCTTCAGAATGTTTCACACAGACTGAAGAGTGCAGCACCAGGGGAATATACCATTGATTGAAGAGAGGGGTATACCACATCAGCAACACAAAATAACATAACACATTCTTCTAAACAAACACATGCAGTACAGGAAAGTAGTGTGATTATAATGTTCGATAAACACCAAGATTAAATGCGGTGTAATAAAATCGCAATTTCCATTCTGCAATAATTTTATATATACTCCCAACCCCTCCCCCATAATGAAACTATGGATCATCCCTTACCCAGTCTTTCTGCACTTGGTTTTTCTTAACCAAAGTAACAAACAAAGTTTGATGAATTATAACACTTTCACACCATTACACATATCCTGGCCGTAGACTTGCGGTAACAAAAGCCTCCTCGCAGTTTACTAGTCATAATGATTTCAAGAAAAGTTCAGAATAAATCAAATACAACAATTTATTATTTGTCAGGTAAACTTGTATCATGCCAATTACATAGACAAGTCAAAGATATCAAATCAATACAAGACATTCTCAAAGATAAATCTAAGAGCAAAGGATGCATACCTGACTTAAATACATAGTATAGAGTGTGTGGACACATTCCATTCTACGGGCTTTCTGGCTACAGAACCGCAAAGACTGATTTGCAACTATCCCTTAAATGCTACCAGAACAAAGACAAAGAAATCTTTAAATCAGTTGTAAAAACATAAAAGACCTTTTGTTTCTGTGCTCCAGGGTCACACCCGGCTGGAGAGAGATAAACATTCTCACAGATCCCTAAAGGGGGACACACCCCTTCCTCAACACAACACAATTCTACAAAAGTTTTAAATCTTTCTCACAATATAAATGACTACTGTGAAATTGAAACCAATTTACCAATCGCACAAAGACCTTTAAAATGACACCAAACATGAAAAGTTTACGATCATGAATCCTGAAGATATAGTAAATGTTTTATGTGAGCATAGCAACTTGAGTTCTTGGCATTTCTCAGTCAACTTTTAGTGACCTGGACCATGTGCCCAGGGGGGAAGGATGGGTGAAGGATCTTGATCAAAGCCCATTGTTTGAGTGTTTGGCTTTACAAGGAGATCAAAGCCCAGTGTTTTGTGGCATTGCATTTGCATTGCGAGAATTCCTGAGTGTTTGGGTTCACAAATAATTTATTTCATAAGGAAATAATTTCACTCCTTTCAGACTTTAGACCAGGTTTTAGTTGGTCACTGGCGCTGTCTATTTCAGTTGCCTCAAAATAGCAACGCGCCAATAATGCGCCTGAACACACGTCGTTTTAAGACCAGCACGCCCATGGGCGCACAAATGCAATGACAAAATAAATCATCCCCTTAACTTCAAAACAGATCTGTGATTTATTGGTTATCTCTCCAAACTGGAAATGAAGTCTGTCGTGGAGCCACACCATCTGAACAGGGTTTATAGTAACTACTAGTCTTCAGACAGTCAGGTGTGAGCTTCAGACAGACAAAACAAAACTCTTTTTTGCATCGAGAGCACACAATGTTTTTACTTCTCTCTGTGTAGCAGTTAATCAGCAAACCACATGTTGGACAGGCACGAACAGATGGACATACAATATTTGCAGCATCTTTTAAAGTAATAGTTGCACAATCTCTCAGCAGATCCAGCTCTCTGTTGCAGCAGCCTTCATTGTCACATCGATCAGATCGAGGACACTGGCCTTTCCATTCTCTCACACACTGCCAGCAGAACTCAAAGGTTCTTTTATTCTTTACAGAGCAAACGGTGCACTGCACGCTGAGATTAGATGAGTCTGATCTCTCGATCAACCAATCACAACCAGGACACTGTGAGACAGAAAGGTACTTATGAATAATAATTTATTTTTCTTAGAAAAAAAAAAAAGTTATATATTTACATCTTGATATATACTTACATTTTTGACGTCTAGTAAATTCCTAATGGTGTTGTTGGCAAGTCTTTCCTCAAAGTATAGCTGTTCTTCAGGTGTGAGTTTGGCTAGTGTACGCACTTCAGTGTAAGACCACTGTTCTTGACACTCAGGGCATCTCAGCTCAGCTTTACCCTGCAATTCATCATTATGAGAAACAGTCTGTTTTATCAAAACATTTCAATATATGCTCTATAGCTTTCAAAAGATGTAAATCGGTTTAGCATGTGATGACTAATCTACACTTACGTCATTCAGCAGATATCTGCAGTAGTCTGTCAGTGTCTGTGGTCCAGTGATGTGACCACAGGATAATTCAGCTCTTAAAACATCTGGATCATCATCACATGGATCTGATGGGGAAACGACATAATACATTTTTTCCAGTCATATGCACTAAAAGTCAACTTGCACAAATTAGTCTTATTGTAACGCTACATAAAAGGTAAATCAGGAACAAAGAAATAAAGGAAGTTATATTTCTATTTCTTTCTCAGAATTACGCAGTATCTACATAATTGAATGTTAAAAACATCTGAGATTAAACATCTGTTTTACAGGTTTGTCCTGGCCAGGATAGGCAGAAAACATATACAGTTAAGATATGGTTTCAGTGTAAACATCTTTTGTGAGACTGCTGCGTCACTCGTAGATGCGCCTCTTAACATGAAAGCAATGCATAACTTGTATACATGTGTGTGTAATCTTACTGCTATTGTCACATAATTTAACTTAACTATGAAACACTTCTGTCTTATGGTGAAATTTGGTCATGGTAAAAGCGAAAGATATAAGCTCCATTAAAATACGTAGGAAAAAAAAAACTTACCAATATCAGAATGCTTTTTCACAAGCTTAATTCCAAGGTTAAAGTCAGATTTCTCATATTGTTTCTCGTAACTCGTCATTTTGAATACGAATGTCTCTCAAACAATTGCAGAGTTTTGCTTCAAGCGTATGTTTGACTGTGACTCACTAAAAACATACTTTCGTTTTCCTATCTTCAGCTGTACTCACAATCACGTGGCTGATCTGAAAGCCTGCGCGCATAGGCGTGTTAAACTTGAACTGTGAAACACAGTGGCTCTCATTCACTAATACTTGCGTAGATTATTCGTATTCGGAGTGATCTAAATGAGCGACCGCGTGCACAGTGTTGCCAGATTGGAAATGTCCAAGTATCGTACCAGAGGCTCAAAATGGTCGTATTTGGAAGAAAAGTATCGTACATGAGTAAAAACGTACAGAATACAGCTATTTATTTAATAGACTAGAACAACAACTTTTTGACAACCTTCAAATTACCACAATAAATAAATAACTATGCTAGGGCCCTATGAAATGTGTTTTATTTTTTCCCAAATTCAAACATTTTTGGATTCTGTTTTTTTTTTTACATTTGAATTTGACTCCTTTTTAACTGGTTAAATTAAATGTTATTAATCAAAAGCACGTCTAATTAAATAATGAAACGTATACAATTCACCATCAAATCTATTAAAAAGTTTAACAAAAATTACATGTTTAGGGTCTTATGAAATGTTCTATTTTTTCATCTTGTTTATTGTTACCAAATTCTGTTTTAATATGTCTAATTATTTGAATGCATAAAAACTACTTTTATTTATAGCCTTATGAAATGTTTTTTTTCTCTTTAGAGATTCTGCGTTGTGTATTTACATTTTTCTGGTTATCGAATGAAGGCATAACACATTAATTTAAATGTATCTTTTAATTAATGAAAATTAAACAAATTTCTATTTTTTGCCAGACAAAGGGGATTTACAATTAAAATTAAAACATGGAAGAAATATTGTGATTATTCCTTAATGATTTTAGAAGTAGTAGTAGTTGTACATACATTCTACTGAACAATAGTAATACA